ACACTTCAGCATCCTTATCATTATGCCCCTCTCCAATTATTATACCAGATTCATCTTTGTTATCGACTGAAAATTTATATATCCGTTTGGAAGAACTTAACCAATAATGTTTAATAAGAAAATCTGTGAAGGAGAACAGTAAAATCTTTACATATAATCATTTACGTTTTCTAAGTATATGTCAATATATACAATTATTGTTAGAAGGACAAGGTAAAATAGATGCTGCTAACCAAATTGCACATTTTATATGGAATAAAGGGGGTTATATAGCTAAATGCATTCGGATATAGGGAAATTATTTCATAAAGACAGGAGAGCTTCTTCCTTACCGCCAAGGTAAACATACCAAACTCGAAAGCTTAATTGACAATGAAGATTTTAGTGAAGATTGTATAGAGTGGTTAAGGCAACAAAAACTGGAAGTACGTACGCCTAGTAATTTGAAAGCATATATTGAGAATACACTATTTCCAAAATTGATTGGTTATATCAAAGAAGACACTATATCAGAGAGGATGTGTAGAAATTATATGTATTCGTGGGGTTTTAAATATGATGAGAGAAGAAAGGGTATTTTCTTTGACAGTCATGAGAGACCAGATGTGGTGGCATATAGGAACAAATGGTTAAAGAGAATGTTCATGTATAAAAAAAACATGAAAGATTTTGTTGGTGAGTCGTTAGAATTTGTATTAGAACCTTAGCTCAATTTAGAGGAGAAAGAATACATTCAAATAATACATGATGAGTGTTATTTCTATGCTAACGATGGGCAGTGACAAATTTGGATTCAAAAAGGTGAAAATATTTTGCACCCAAAACATCTGGGACGTTCTATAATGGTCTCTGCTTTTTTGTGCCCTTGCTATGAACTATTATGCCTAACTGACCAACAGCTATATGAAAATCCATATATTAAAGATAAAGAAACATTTGTGATTCGTTCTGTTCAGGTAGATGGATATTAGAAGGCAGAGCATATGCTTAAACAGCTTGTAAGTAAAGTAATTCCAGTATTTAAAATATTGCACCACGGGTGTATCAGTATGTTTTGCTTCGATCAATCTACTAATTATAATGCTATGGCAGAGGATGCACTAATCGCAAAAAGGATGAACTTGAGTTCTGGAGGGAAACAACCGATGATGCGAAATGGTTGGTTTATTGATGAAACCAGAAAAAAATATGTGCAACCGATGGTATTTCCGAATGATTATCAAAAGGAGGAGTTAAGAGGCAAGCAAAAAGGTTTAAGGCAAGTGCTTAAAGAGCGAAAACTCTGGTCTGCAGAAAAGGTTCTGCTAGTATGCGAAAAATGTTCTGGAAAATGTACTGATAATGGCCCAGAAAAGTTGAATTGCTGTGCACAAAGAATCATGTCATTGCAGCCCAATTTTCTTGAACAATGGTCCCTGTTAGAAGAAGCTGTAATTAATGCAGAGCACATTTTTGAACACTATCCAAAGTTTCATTGCGAGTGTAACTTTATCGAACGATATTGGGGTTTTATGAAACAAGAAGCAAGAAGATTATGTAATTATAATTATAAGGATTTAGTAAATCTTGTTCCGGAAGTTCTTAAGAGTGTTCCTGTAACCACTATTCGCAAATTTTCCTGTAAATCGTAGAGATATATGGATGCATATGATAAAGGGCTAAAAGGTGTAGCTGCTGAGTAGGCTGTTAATCAGTATAAATCATATCGTCAAATCCCAAAGAATATTGAGCAAATGATAGAATGAATGAATAAAGGCATAATCATAATAATAATAAATTTTAATCTTTATTGTAAGTAATTACTATGTTTATGGTTTTATTATTTAATTTCGCTATGACAATATTTTTATTAACTAAACACACTTTACATAAAAATTTATTCAGGCAAGTAAGTTTTATCATTACAACCAATTCTGTAAACCTCAAATTAAAATTAAAATTTATTCTTTTTATGTTATCCCAATACATATTTATAATTTATAATTAATAGTTTACAGTATCCTAAATAAGTCAGTATAGGTGATTTGATTAGACTACATATCAAATTTTTTGGAATTTAATGTTTTATAATAGATACCCAAACTTGAAGTGCAAAAATTAATTGGGTAAATTTATTGTTTTATGACAGATAACTGAACTGGAACTAGAAATACAAGATTAACTAATGATTATACTTTTTTTGTGCATAAGTTTAATTAGTTCAACCATGTATTCTTTGCAGAATCAATCTAACATTTTGTATGATTTAAAAATAGTCGTATAGAAATTCATGGTTTTATAATGATTTGCATTAAAAATAAACTGCATATCATCACTGCTTTTTTGGTACAAATATTGTTAGGTATAAAATTAGAAGGTGTATACATATAATGAAATTTCATATTTTTGTTAGAATGCAAAAGGCAATCTTATAGGCAAACTTTCGAGTTACAGACGATTTTAAAAAAAATTATTCCATATTAATCTGATCTGTGATTTAATTGTTAAAAATTACAGAATTATAAATTTTTATATAATATGGGGTCAAATTTGCGAAGCTTTATAATATGATTGGTTAAAATAAATCATGTGATCAAATACTGTGATTTTATTGGTTAAATTCATGTTTATTATATGTTTCAATTTAGTTAAAACATAATCAAATACTTTAATTTTAAATGCTTATAACTTTTTATATAAGGCTTATTTAAAAAAACTAACCAGTAATTTGATAGAGAATATTATAAAAAACAAAGTTACCAGTTTAGTTTTTTAAAATTTTATTTGTATAAAGTATTAATAGATTTTAAAATATATATAATTTATTGGCGAGTTAAGGCTTCTGGCACCATATAAAAAAAAAAATAAATAAATAAATGTTTATAATAATATAATGCATATGTTAAAATTCTTAATTAGTATCTTATATAAATTGCTTAATAGTATTAACTATATATTAGAGTATAGAGGATGTGATAACTTAGTGAAGTGGTCAGGTTATTAACTTTCAAGTGGCAGGTCTAGAGTTCAAATCCCATAAATGATAAATTTTAGAAAATAGGTCTGTGTTACAATAACTGTTTCTGTTGATCAGTTGGATTAGTGTATCTGTAACCTTTAGTTGCACTATCTTAAATAAGAGCTTAGAGCATTTATACTAAGTATAATATCACACTCACATAAAGAAATGTATAACTGATATTGCATAAGACTTTAGTGCAAATCCACAATAAGACCACTAGGTACGAAAAGTGAAAAAACTGAAGAGTCAGAAACCTATTTGGAAATTCCAAGTAAGGAAGTAGCACAAAACTTTTGATGATGCTGTTGGACTGATGGAAGCTCATAAAACACCCCTTAAGAAATAGATGGATAAATTAGATGGCAAGATGTGTAGAGAAGCATATGACCAACTAGGCTACTGGAATTACTGAAGGAAAAGAATACTAAGGTATACTATACTGGGCCATCTGATTTGGAAGTCTGGAGAGTTCTGTTAGTCCTGAGTAGCAGTTAGTAGGAGATGATGAAAAGTATATCAAAAAGATGAGTATCAGAATTTTGGATAAATCTTACAAGGATAAAAGCAGTTTAATAATTAGCTTTAACTGCAAGTGATGGTTTAGACCAAAACATGACTAGATGAGCTGTAAGTATAAGATACAGAACATACTGGTAGGTTTAGTACAAAGTTAAACATAACTTAATAACTATAATATATCTTTACCAGTTTACTAGAGTTATTGATAAGATGTGGTGAATACAGAATCAGAGTGTTTAAATAAAGGTCTTACAAGTGAATCCTAGATATAGCAACTAGTATAGAACCTTTGGGTGGATTACTTAAATTAGACAATGACTAAAATTGTATAAGTGGCTAGTTGTATATTCTTTCTATAATTGCCTCTGCACTATTACATCAACAGATGCTAGCCAACTGATACTATTAATAAAATCTTAGGTCACATGTACTTACCTTAACATTTAAAAAAAAAATATATTAAAGTATATTAACAAAAAAAAAAAAATAATTATAGTTTCTATAAAAATCATTTTGCTAAATTGATTATATTAGATTAGTTTTTTTTTTTTTTGATGTTAAGATAACCTCTTTGGTCTTTTGACTTTTATTAATAACTTATTAGTAATGTAATTTTATAAACTATTACAGAAGAGAGTACAATTGGCTATATATATAACTTTTCTATATTACTTATTTAAAAAGTCTGGCTAAAGGTTTTTTACTAATTGCTATATCTAATATTTCTGCTTGTATGTTTTACTTTAAACTTTCTGAACCTGTAAACTGTATTAATTCACTAGGTCATATCCAGATGTCCAGATTATCATTTCAATTTTAAAACTAATTTATTTTTGAAATAAACCCTCCAGAGTCTTTTTTACTCATTTTTATAACTAATTTAAATATTACTATAGCAAAACCAATATCTGCAATTAGAGTTATATCATTTAACTGCTATGCTTTTGTAGAGTTTACACAGATTTCAGCATCTACTTCATAGCATAACTTTAATACTTTAGTATACTCTGCCTTTTGTTCAGTCTTTTTACCAAACTTCCAATTCAGATAGCCTATGTAAGACTATAACCAGTCTATCAGTATATTAGGTTAGCCTAATATTTTTTTCTTTTAGTTCATTCTAGCAGTTTAGTTGGTGATACCTCTGAGACTCTTAACCTAAAGATTCTTGCCTATCTGGCTACTATGACTGGGTACTATGATCTTAATATCTGTTTTACTAAACTAGTCTTTACAGTAGAGTTATTAAAGATTTGGTTATCTTTTTACTCAAGTTTTTTTAAATAAACTTCTTGTTATCCAATTTCAATGGATTTACATAGCCACAAAGACTTATCTAATGTTTGCACTATCTAATTTGTTAGTTTGCATTCCTCTATATAACAAGTTATACAGATGTCTTATAATCTGCCAGTTATGCTAATATGACTGCTATTATAGATATTCTAATCTAATCATTAATAAAAATTACCATGATATGAATATTATATAGATAATTATTTAAATTTTTACTGTTGATAGGATTTGAATATCCAACCTACCACTTGGAAGGTTGACAACCTAATTACTTTACTAGGTCACTACATCTCTGATTATGTTAGATTAGTTATTTGTTAGTTTAGCTAATAATTATAATATTTTTACTTTAGGATACTTGTAAAAACAAACTATACTCAAAAATAAAACTAAAAATTAGTAAAGTTATAAATAATGCTTTGTAAATTAAGTTTCAAAACTAAAAAAAGCATCTGAATTACCAATATTATAATATTAAAAATAATTTAAAAATAATTTAAAAATATCTTTAGCTTTATCAAATAATAAAAGTACTTTAAAAATCACTATAAATCTTTATTACTAAAATCTTTATACTAAAGTAGTTATAAAATTATTAATAAAATCTTTATTAAGTTTATAAAACATTCATTTACAAATCATCATTACATATACTGTTTTTGAAAATATAAGTTCATATTATTGTCTTCATCTTTAGAAAAATACTTTACAAGTTATAATAAACTTATTAAATATGTCAAAACTTATATCTTTAGTCATAAATATATAGTAAGCATTAAAAGATTTAAGTAAAACAAGTTTATTTACTTGTAATATAACAGAGGTGGCAACTACAATAAAAGAACAAAGATTACTAATAAAACCTACTAAAAAGCTACAAATACATAAGCAATAAATTGTTTTTTTAATCTTTATAAAAGAATAACAAAAGATGATCAATGGCATCTAACAATAAAAAAATGCAAATTACAATTATGAGGCATCAGAAGATTTTTTAAACCATCTATCTAGTTATTAATTAAATAAAGCTAATTAAAAAAAGTTAAAAAAATATCTACAGTAGATGTTTATTTTTGAAAAATACTTTTTATACTTTATCAAAACAATCCAGATAATTTAGCAATCTTAAAAATGATTTATAACATTTAAGATAAAATTTGGTATAACAATCTTCAAGACCATACTCCTATTTATGCTTTTTTTTTTATAAGCTTACAAAAGAAAGTTTTGAATATTATTACTAATATAATTAAGATGAAAATTAATACCTCTTTTTTTTGTATATTCAAAATCAATTATACTTATCAAAACATATAATTCAGTTTTCTTAATAGATTGTATATATAAAACTAATAAGTTTAAAATACTATTGCTTTATATTGTTGTTATGATGAGTTTTAATATTACATTTTTTTGCTTTTTTGTATTTTTAAAATCAGAGCAGAAAGAAAATTACAAATGGGTCTTTATTTGTGTTGCTTATATTTTTGGTAATATTTTAAAGCTTAAAGTTATAATGACTGATTATGAATTAGCTTTAATAAATGCTGTATAAATAGTATTTTTAGAATTACACAATTTTCTGTATTTGGCATATTAGAAAAAATGTATTAATTACTATAACTGTCAACATCATTTCTAAACTAATAATAAATAGTTAAAATTTATAAAAAGCTAGTTTAGCCTTATAAAATCTAAAAAAGAATCTAATTTTGAAAATAACTAAGAAAAATTAATAAAAAAATATAATAAAAAAAATAATTATTAAATATTTAGATAAAACATAGTTGTTATTTAAAACAAATTTTGTGAGCT